ATCTTGCAGTTGACTCTGACCCCTATCAAATACCAGAGATGCTCAAAACCAGCAAGCCAGAACCATCAGCAGTGCTGTCAGGAAGACCAATTAGAGATATATTTCACAAACAGAAACGCACTGCAGTGGGAGGAAGCATTTGATGTACCCTCTCTGATCAAGTCTGTCCAATGTTTGGCTTACAAAAATACAAATAAAATTCTGAAAACATGACAACTTTGCTTTTTGACAAAGGCTTTCACAGGCCCAAATGCCCTACTTCTATTAACTGTGCAAAGCTGTTGGTTTAGGGCTAGTTCAATAATACTGAGTTTTGCACTGGAATTATGCGTGCTGAAGTTTGATTGGCATTATGTAAGATTTGCAGGCCGATGGTTTGTGGCCTGTAATATGCAGAGGGAACATTTTTTTTCAACAGGACAGTTGTTTTCAGAGGTTTTACCAAGGCACTCTCTTTTTTGTGCACAAAACCTTTTTTGGCATGAACCATCACACGCAGTTAGCAAACTTCAGACAACTAGGTAAGTAGACACAGTAGTCAGATGCATAGATATATTAATCCCCTTTGTGAAGAACATCGTATTCAGGTTCTGTATCAGGTAGATCTTCCAATGATACATCTGCATGGGAAAAAAAAGTCTTCCTCCAGCTAGTGATGAAAGGTGTACTAGCTGCGATTTTAAAGCTCACCAAGGCATTCCATTTGATACTTAGACTTTTTATTTTGCAGCCTTTGCAGAACCATGAATTGAGCACTGTAGATTTGTTATGACACCCAAAAGCCATACAGTAGGCTGAAGTGAACTTGGTCTTCCATTTTGATTTTTTAAAATTGTACATTTGTAATGAAGGCAAATAGATATCATCGTACCTGAAAGACCATCATTTCAAAAAGGCCTATTTATAAAAGGCTTGAAAAGTATCCTAAATCAAGAGTTACATGTCTAAGACATTCTGATACAGAACTCAGCCAAAAAGTCAGATTATCCCATGAACCACATTTTAAATTTCAACATAGCGCAGGTTCTTCTTCCTGCCAGAGGTTGTGGCTCTAACAAGGCATGATTTCCTACTTCTGAGCTGCTGGGGCTTGGTTGCGGTAGTTTAGCACAGGGAGAAAGTGGAAGGGATAGTGTGGGTGTCGATGATGCAGCCAGTGCTGCCTTCTTGATGGTGGGGTGAGACACATTGGCCTGTAAAGAGTCCCCATCTCAGCTCTGGCAGAGGTGTCTCCCTTTTTTTTTTTTTTTTTTTTTTCCTGGGGAGATCCTGCACTGAAGACGTTTTATAATCTGGAAGCAAGGAAACAGTTTACCAGGTAGGGTTCTGCTTAGCTACAAAGAGATGTTAGCTCCTCTTTAACTATAAAACTTTCTGCTTGCTGATCCTAATGGCTGTTGTTTCAAGAAACTGGCTGTGCTTAAAAATACAGGAACAGAGTATTACAAGAAGAAAAAGGCCTTTGTGCAAGTTAAAGTGTACAGTCAGGGCACTAGAACTAAAGATTAGAAAAAAATATTTCTGGCATGGGGGGTGGGGTGGAGAGGCATGTATTTTTTTATTATTATTTAAAAAAAATTACATTAATAATGGTTGAATGAGTTCAAAACTGTTTATTTCTTGTTTCATTTTTTGTTTATAATTAAACTTTCACATCTGTTGTTGAAATGCTAACACTTAAGTTCAAACATCACATAGTGGAAAATGACCAATTCTCAGCATTGGTACTCTACATTTTAAAAATAAGTGGTATACAAACTACTAAGGAGTTTGCTTCTATTTTTAAAAGACATCTTACAAAGCATTAATGCAAAATATACTTTTGACAAAAAATGTTTATTTGGAAAGATTCAGGTTGTTCTAGTTAATTAGTAATTTACAAATATAAATAAATTTCCAACCCATTTCTAGTGCTGAGAGGCATATATGAGACCAGAACAACTATAAGAAGTTTAAGTACATTTCATTAACAATGCATCCCATTGATAAGATTATGCTTTGGGAGGTTTTTAATGCCCATAGACATGAACTGTACACACTATATATAAAACAGCAAAACAAAAAAATCAAGGTAGGCAATACCATTTTGGGACAAGCCTCTGTATAAATTATACACAGCTCAATGCAGTATTTTTATGGAAAATATATAAATACTTTTGTTTCTATGTTACAGGTCTACAATATAAATCAGATGTCAATGTCTGTTCAGTGACCTACAAACACTAGAACCTCCAAATATGTAGCACTGTATTACTAAATAAAGAAGAAAACTTAGAACAGGAAGAATAAGTCTTGAGATTTTCCTTGATCCCTTCCCTCTTCAGAATGATTAATTTACATCATCTCTTGCAATGCAGTTTGAGGGATGCTAACAGCCCAATTTTGGAACAATTTTTCAAGTAAATCTATGAAATATCTGCCTTCAGCCCCTAAGACATTGCATCTTGTGTTGAAAACTTATTCCGTAGCAAAATGGCATGTTACACTTTTTGGCATGAATTACATTTTTCAAATTAAATAGCTAATTTTATAAAGTAATTCAAGCAAAATGTGCAGTTTTTGCATACTGTGACACTGCTATCCATGTTCCAAAAATTGTCCAAAGAAAATCCACATTCTTCACTGAACATGCAAATCTGTTTGAAAATAACTATCTAGGGAACCAGAATCAAGTTAAACAAACAAACAAAAAAACAACAAGGCAAATAGGGGCTTCTAGCAACATGCAAAGATGTTTTCTAGCATGTTCCCAAAGATCTTTTACAGTTTGCAGATTTTACTCTCACCTAATATATATCTTTATAAACTCCATGATAGTAGAAGTGTAATAACAATAATAATAATAATAATAAAAAGTTAGAGGACCTGCTTTAAACAGGCTCCACAGAGAAGCACCAAGTATCAGACCTTCTGTACAGCCCTGCCGGAGGTGAGCAGAAAGCTTGGAAGTACTTCAAAGCCTGGCAAGAATTCCTCCACTGAGATTCCTCTGCTTGAGCTCACACTCACTCCAGAGGTAACACAAGCATGCTGAAGTCCAAAAATCCAAATACCAAGACCAGAACATAGACTAAGAAGCAGCAACAACTCTTTCATCTCTGAGAAGTGGAGAGAAACAGCACCTCCAAGGAAAAAAAAAAAGCAGAACCCTTTAGTTAGATCTTTGCCCTTTAGAAAGGGTTTGCTCTTTCCACTGACTGTAAAAGGAGACCAAGAAAGTGAGCCAGATAATTTAGTGGCTAAATTCCACTGGTTTCATGGCCAGGCTCTCCTTCCCACAAGGGCTTTCACCTCAGACATGAGTATTTTCTATGTTATCATGTTTAATCAATCAGGAGTTTTCTTTGCCACAGCAAACTAAATTTGTATATAGTGTCCAATGAGTCCTATCTGTTTTACCATTTGTTCGACTGTATGACAAACCACTAGGGTTAGAAAAAATATGAAGTGGATGGTCTGTCAGCTTCCCTTCCTACCCTTTCTAGGAAAAGTGGAAGGATCCTTTATTAAGTTTAATATATCCACAATTTTTATTTACCAAAGTTTTCTTTTGAAGTTTTATCATGAAGCAAATAAAGCCCCAAAATAAGAAGTTTAAAAGGGATATTTTAGAAAAGAAATTGATAGAATTAGAAATTCACAGTCTATAACTAGGCCAATATCAAATTCCGTCAATAGCAGTATCCCATCATTTGCCAATTAAAATGAAACATTGTGACCTTAATGTAAATTAATTCTAGAAATGTGTTATGTACAGTACAGACTTTACATTCTTTATGCATACTTATACTTTTTGAACTCTGACACTAATATACTTTTAGAAAAAAATCGTATTTTAACTGAATTTGCTATAATAATTTGTACATCAAGTTTCAGTTGTCATGGATCCCCACACAAGCTAGTATTTTAGAAAACATAAGATGGAGAATCTTTCAAAAGTATATTGACATTGCTTTTGCTTACCTTTTTATAATGAGGTCTTCCTATTACATTTTCTACTTTAAGTGCTATGTATTAAACTGGTAACAAATGAACAAGGGTGTTTTATTTAAATACAGGTGATAAAAACTTGTTTATTTTGCTTTAACTGCAGAAAAATAACATGGAGTTGTTTGATGTAACCCTATCTAGTTATTAAAACAAGTCTCTTATACTATAGCCTAACTGAGGTAGTATTTGAAACTACTATGTAAGATATGCCCGTCCCATTTTTGAGAAAACTACATTATTTCCTCTGGAGTTTATACCACTATTTGGTCTACTGTGATTGACATTTTGGTTTTACAGAAGCATTTATTTCTTATGACCAGAGAAGTCCAATAGTTACTGGTGTGGTACGTTTCCAGAACATTTCAACATGTCTTGACGCATAGATATATTATTTGTGTCACTGACCAGTTTCTCTTTGCTCCTTCTTTCAGTGGGAACTCATGAAAAGACAATTGACTTAAGTATTACTCTGACAATTATAAAAAATGGTAAAAGTGAACGGATAAAAAACATTCTACTTAGTACAGTCCAGCTGAATTATTCACCTATATCAAAATCAAAGGGTAACCCCTTCTATTACAGGCATTCTAACAAAGGTGGCCATGCTACTGTATATATAAATTTGCATATATTTATATTACCTTTGTATAAAGGCTTCTGAATCTTCAGATGCATGATAAAAGTGACGGGAACCCTTACTTTTTTCCATTAAGCTTGTACTCATTACTTTAGAAACCTCACTAGTAATGTGATAGAGGCAACCATTTTACTTATTAACAATCACTGTATCATGTAACTTTTGCAACAAGTCTCAAATACCAATATAAAATTATAAGTTCTTCTGCTTCAAAATTTGGTAATTAAGGTTTTTCACTACAATTATTAGTACTATCTCATGCTTAAGCACTCATCCACTGAAAATTCAATCAAACCTTTGTTTTTATAAAAGGCTGTTTCCATGGAACTTTGAAAATTGCTCATATTATATCTTCTCACAAAAGCAGTAATGATTAAATGTCTTCAAGTTTATTTTATACGACATTAATTTATCTGATACAAAACATGCTTGTTAAAGGCTTTTAGTTAAGAATAAGACCAACATTCATATTATATGAGCATGTGCATAGAAACTGCAAACATGCATATCATTCAGGGAAAACTTGATTTCGGCATTTTAAGTATAAATTATTTGTTATTTTAAAATCAAACTGTAGTAAAAATCCATAACTGGTTCAGATAAGATATGTATATGTAAATGTAATGAAATGAATGAGTCTGCTAATAAAATGACTTACAACTACAGTAATATTAAAATAACTTTAAGGAAATCTCAGATTCACAGAAGCTTGTTTTTCTGTCTGAAGTTACAAGCCCCCCCCCCCCCCCCCCCAAGTAGTGTTATAAACAGTACAAAAAACAACAGAGAAGGGCTAACATTAATCCCCTGGTGTCCATGATCACAGTACAGCTTCCATTTGCTGGCAACGGAATGTACCCATGCACCCTCATCTCACCGGCTCCTGGTATCCAGAAATTAAAAGCAAAAAAAAAAGCAAGGCATCATTCTGCTTCTCTGGAACAGAATTAGAAGTCAATCATAAAAAAAATTTCCACGTGTTGTCATTTTATTTTTATTATTACTTTTTTAATTTATGGTAAAAAACAAAACAAAAAAAAACAACAACAAAATTAAAACTTGTAGAGGTGTTCAGTGCTTGGCTCTTGCATATATTGGTAATTACTTTTATTAAAACTATGGTAATGTTTAATAACTTCCCAAAGGGCTCAAAAGACTGGGGCAGTAATTGGTTGAGGAAGAAAAAGTTTTCAGTTCACTCTTCAGGTACCAGTACCTTCTGGAATGGTCTCCAAACTTTATTATCCAGTCAATCGGAAATTATCTGAGGATTTCAGAAAGTCTTTATGTAAATGCACTGTGTGAGACAGAGGTCAGGATTCAGCTGATGTATCAATTACTGATTGTTTTGTTGGTGTTGCTAAAATAGCCTCTGCTTCTTCATGCATCTAAAAGAAAAAGACAGATGAAGCATTAATGTCCTTAGAGATATTAAGGAGAATGACATCACAAAATGGTTCTTTAATACATGCCTGAAAGCATTTATTATTCAGAACATAAAACCTGCACCCAGCTGGCACATTTTGGTGCATTCAAAGCATCTGATCCCTCCACTTACTTGTAAGAACTGCACATCTTGAAATAGCTCCTGAATGAACCTTCGAGATGGAAGTCGAAATGTACAATGTGCTAACAAGTAGGACACTTCAGAGTAAAGGCATATGTCATCAAATGCTTGGGGATACTTCTCCTTAATTCTGATCAACAGGAAAAACAGAATTTTAAACGTCCTGAACAGATTTCCATCATATTTAAAAAAAAAGAAGTTCAATTAAGTTTTGATCATCATCATTAAAAAAGTATGACTTTGCCTTCAGTAATAGGCATTATAAATTCTGGATGTAATGAACTAAGAAAATCAGAACAGATAGCATTATTTTGTAACAAAATGGAAGAAATCTGTATTAATGAAATGAAACAGAATATATACTTTGAAAGTTATATTGAATATCTGAGATCACCTAGTCTTAAAATAGATGTTGAAAAAGAACAGTGTATCAAAGAAGAGGCATCCACATATACAGCCATACTAAAAAATAAATATGGAAAAGATAACTTAATACCTGTTAGCATTTTATAAATAAAATAAGTATTACTGAATTTTCTTTTAGAAGTTGTATGACAATTTTCAACATCATTATAATAAAAATGGTAGGTTTCTGGACTAATGTTTAGTCCCTAGATTTATATTCCTATATTTTTAACATGAGTTTTTTCTATAAATTAACGCCAGTAGTTGTACTCTTGCTTAAAGCAGATTTATGTTTCTCAAGAAGTTACTTTCAGACTGTTATTCTGGTTATCTGACATATCTTATTTGGCACAAATAAACATAAAAGAATTATAATTTATTTTTTAAAGATGCATGACATACCAAGTATACAATGAAACATCATTACAGTTAAACTATTGTTTGGGAAAAAAATGGAGAAGAGTAAGACATTAATGATAGAGCAAACAATATTAGAAGGAAAATTCTTTGTTTAGCTTTTACATTGTGTTCAACTACCCCCAGTAATCCAAAAGAATATCTGCTTGACAGTATTTTGAGAAGTCAGAAATAAGGTGAACCACTATCTCAGAGTACTTAGAGAATACATATAACTAAATGTTGCTAAAACATCAGAAACACATTTAACTTACTTCAGGAGTCCAGTTTCATGGCCCTTAGTTCCTACCGAACTACTCAAATTGATTACTAAACGTAAGACTTCTTTCCGCAGAAGTATTCTGCACACTGGTATATCATCCGGGATTGATTTTACTCCTGGAAAAACAAATTCAACAGTATGAAGTTTAAGCAGGAAGTCTTTGATTGTGCTAATCTTATGCCACATGAGTCTGTTTTGGTATTTTATACATACACACATATACACACATGGATTTACATATATATTATGCAAAGCCTTTGATATGGTCCCTCACCACATTGTTCTCTCTACATTGGAGAGGTGTGGATTTGAAGGATGGACTGTTAGGTGGATAAAGAATTGGTTGGCTGGTTGCAGCCAAAGGATTGTGGTCGACAGTTCTATGTCTGGGTGGAGGCCGGTCACAAGTGATGTCCCTCAGGGGTCAGTCTTGGGTCCAGTACTCTTCAGCATCTTTATCAACAACATAGACGATGGAATTGAGTGCACCCTCAGCAAGTTTGCAGATGACACCAAGCTGAGCAGTGCAGTCGATACAATAGAGGAAAGGGATGCCATCCAGAGGGACCTCGACAGGCTGAGAAGTGGGCCCATGAAAACCTAATGAGGTTCAACAAGGCCAAGTGTAGGAGGCTGGAAGTACACTTTAACCCAGCAACTGGGCACCGTTCCATGACCATCTACACTGGGCAAGGGCCCTCATCCTACCTGACCCTCAAGGAAGTATGGTGGGCACTTTGAGAGCAAAGGCTGAAGCTCTGGCTGGGGGGAGGGGGGTCATCATCTTACCCCAGTGGCAGCCAATGCCTCCACTCAAATGGAGCCACTGCAAAGGTTTCCCCATCCCACCAGGCAGTAGGAGGGGACCTAGGACATGGCAGGGAATGGAAGCATGTTTCTGCTCAGGTGGTAGGCAAGCCCCCTCCCTGCCTACCTCACGTTCCCGGGTACATTGGAGTGCCTGCTGGATGAGAAGCTGTACATGAGCCAGCAGTGTGCGCTTACAGCCCGGAAGGCCAACTATGTCCTGGGCAGCATTAAAAAAGGGGTGGCCAGCAGGGAGAGGGAGGTGATTGTCCCCCTCTACTCTGCTCTCGTGAGACCCCACCTGGAATCCTGCATGCAGGCCTGGGGCCCCCAGCACAAGAAGGATGTGGAGCTCTTGGAATGGGTCCAGAGGAGGGCCACTAAGATGATCAGAGGGCTGGAGCACCTCTCCTATGAAGAAAGACTGAGAGAGCTGGAGATGTTCAGCCTGGAGAAGAGAAGGCTCCAGGGAGACCTCGTTGCGGCCTTCCAGTACTTGAAGGGAGCGTATAAACAGGAGGGGGAATGCCTGTTTACATGTGTTGGTAGTGATAGGACAAGGGGGAATGGTTTTAAACTAAAACGGGGGAGATTTACATTAGATATTTGGAGGAAATTCTTCACTCAGAGGGTGGTGAGGCACTGGAACAGGTTGCCCAGGGGGGTTGTGGATGCCCCATCCTGGGAGGCATTCAAGGCCAGGCTTGATGCGACTCTGGGCAGCCTGCTCTAGCAGTTGGCAACCCTGCCCAGAGCAGAGGGGTTGAAACTAGATGATCCTTAAGATGCTTTTCAACCCAGGCCATTCTATGATTCTATGATATTCTGAACTACCAATAAATATTCCAATTAAAAATGAAAAATATTATTTTTATGAATTTTAACATGGATTTTTTTTTAAAAGATAAACTAGCATTTCATAAATTCTGTAAGACATTTGGTAAAACTGAAGACTAAACACTGAGATTCAGTTACAGCACTGTCTTTATTACTAAAGCACATTGCTGGGTGAGATATTACCTTCTCTGTTTGCATCAGATGCTAGAAGTTAGCAACCAGCTACTCCATAAGAAATTATGATAATTGAAAATAGAAAACAAGTCTAAAAATAAAATGTCTTTCTTCACAGAAATTCAGTACTTTTTTTTTAAAGGATTTTTTTTTAACCTAACAACACTATAGAAAAAAAAAAAAAACAACAATCAATTTGATTGCAATGCAAGATAAAGAGCTGTTTACCTGCAAAATGTGGTACAGCAAAAGTAGAATAAATACAGAAAAAAACCTTAAGATTTCTAGCACCTAATAGTATAAGGCTTTCAAACTTACCTAGTACAATCTCTGTACTCTTGGTACTGCTAGCTGAACCTTGGGATAATGCATCACTACAGCCAGAAATTCCAGAAAATTTGGACGAATGCACATCTAAGTGATTGTGTATGGTCTGACCACACCAGTCAGTACATGGAATGTCTGAAAAATCTGACAGAAACAAGATGTTGCATCTTTGTTATTCACAATTTTCCTCACCTGAAATACTCTTCTTATCTTTTAAAGATGTTAAATATGTGATTCCTGGTATTGGGTTTATGTGACAAGGGTTTTTGTAGCAAGGGGGGCTGCAGGGGTGGCCTCTGTGAGAAGAACCCAGAGGCTGTCCTATGTTAGAAAAGGGACAGTTTCAGCCAGCTCCAAAGGCACCCACCATTGGCCAGATCTAAGCCAGTAAATGACACTAGCTGTGCCTCTGTGACAGCATATCTGACAACATATATAAGAAATTCAAAAAAACCCTGCTGTGCGACAGCAGCTGGGGGAGGGAGCAGAAGTTCCCCCACAGCCTGTGGATAGGACCATGGTGGAGCAGGCTGTCCCCCTGCAGCCCATGGTGTACCATGGTGGAGCAGATCTCCACACTGCAGCCTGTGGAGGAGCCCATGGTGGACCAGGTGAATCTGACCTGAAAGAGGCTGCAGCCTATGGAGAGCCCCCACCAGAACAATCTCCGGGACAGAGCTGTAGTCCATGGAGAGGAGCCCACTCAGGAGCAGGTGATCTGGCAGGAGCTGCTGCCCATGGGGGCCCCAGGTTGGAACAGTTTGCTCTTGTCAGATGGACCCTGTGGTACATACGGACCCATATTGAAGCAGTTCTTGAAGAGCTGCTGTCTGTGGGAAGCCCACAGTTCAGGAAGGATGGCATCCCATGGGAGGGACCCCATGTTGAAACAGAGGAAGAGAGTGACTGTGAAGGAACAGTGGAGATGAAGTGCACCATTCGGGGGAAGGAGGTAGAAGAGGGCGGAGAAGGAAGGTGTCTTTAGTTTGCTTTAATTTCTCACTGCTCTAGTCTGTAAGTAATAGGCAATAAATTATATTAATCTCCCTATGTTGAGTCTGTTTTGCCTGTAACGATAATTGTTGAATGACCTCCCTGTCTTTATCTCAACCCTTGAGCCCTTTCTATTGTATTTTCTCCCCCCTATTCATTTGAGGAGTGGAAGTGAGAAAGTGGTTATGGTGGCATTCAGCTGCCCAGCAGGGTAAAACCACCACATAACCTGATGCACTAAATATGGTAACTGTTAGCATATAAAACAGCTGGAAACCAGATGTTGGATTTTGAAGAACTTATACTCAAAATATTTAAAAATCACTTTTTAAAAAAATCTTAAAATACTTGAGTTAAAATAATAAACTCTTAAGCACTTGTTATATCCATGTTCTTTTTTATATAACATAAAGATGGCTTTTGTATTGCACAAGTTCTCTAGTTCATACAATTAACACAAGTCTTGTAGAATGGGCTTTGACTTCATCAACAGAAAGTTGTGACAAGTAAGGATTCTTTTGGGAAGTTTCACTATATATCCAAAATGTAAAAGGCTATGGAAAGAGATGAATATAAAACCCAAGCTTTTAACTGCTGTGCATTTAATAGAACCACTGAAAAAAATAGGTTTAAAGTATCTTCTGAAGATCATCTAGCTTAACTCCTTTCTCAAAGAAGGGCTCACTTCAAAATTAAATCATGTTACATTGTGAAAAGTTTTTCCTCTTATGTTCAACTACAATTTCCATTACTATAGCATGTGTCCATAGCCTCCTGCCCTTTGCCTTTGTGCCTCTTCCAAGAGCGTGTCTCTGCCTCTCTTGTAATCCTTACTTATGGTATTTGAGAACTACAATTGGAATCTTATTTGCCATCTCATCATATTAAATTCAAGCTCAACACATTATGTACATCAACCCCCTTGACAACAGTAGTCTTTATACGTTACTACCTGAATGCGTATCATTGCTGTAAAATGATGAGAATTACAACTAAGCAGAAATTTGGAATTTCCATTACCAGGCTATCTTTTTATTACATACATACATTGTAAAAAGGCATGCAACTGCGAGGTCTGCAGAGAAAATTAGGAAGAAAATAATTCTGAATCTGATCCGAATCTTAAAATATGAAGAAAGAAAACTAAATCTCAGAAATTACAGTTCAACTTCAGACTTCTCAGTCAGATTTCATAGAATATCCCAAGTTGGAAGGGACCCATAAGGATCATCGAGTCCAACTCCTGGCTCCACAAAGGTCTACCCAAAAATTCAGACCATATGACTAAGTGCACAGTCCAAACACTTTTTAAACTCCAACAGGCTTGGTGCAGTGACTACTTCCCTGGGGAGCCTGTTCCAGTGTACAACCACCCTCTCAGTGAAGAACCTCTTCACGATATCCAGCCTGAACCTCCCCTGTCGCAGCTTGACACCATTCCCGTGGGTCCTATTGCTCATCACCAGAGAAAATAGATCAGCGCCTTCCCCTCTGCTCCCCCTTCTTGAGGAAGCTGTAGACCGTGATGAGGTCTCCCCTCAGCCTCCTCTTCTCAAGGCTGAACAGGCCAAGTGACCTCAGCCACTTTTCGTATGTCTTCCCCTCTAGGCCCTTCATCATCTTCGTCACCCTCCTCTGGACACTCTCCAACAGTTTAATGTCCTTTTTGTACTGGGGTGCCCAAAACTGCACACAGTACTCAAGGTGAGGCCACACCAGTGCAGAGTAGAGTGGGACAATCACTTCCCTCGACTGACTTCATTTCCTTCATTTTGTTTTATCATAGAATTGCTCGGGTTGGAAGGGACCTTAAAGACCATCTAGTTCCAACCCCCCTGCCATAAGCAGGGATGCCACCCACTAGATCAGGTTGCCCAGGGCCTTGTCCAACCTGGTCTTGAACACCTCCAGGGATGGAGCATCCACTACTTCCCTAGGCAACCTGTTCCAGTGCCTCACCACCCTCTGAGTGAATAATTTCCTCCAAATATCTAATCTCTTTCCTCTTTTAGTTTAAAACCATTCCCCCTTGGTCCTGTCATTATAAACTAGGTTTGATGGGGGAAGGGAGGGGAGCTAAAGGTGACAGAGAAGGGCTGGGGGAAGTTGTCACTGCTGTCATTGTTGAAGACAGGGAAAAACTGAGCTCTCCCATAGGATTGTCTGAGGGCTCCTCAGAGAAGGTAGCGTTCCCAATCCCCCGTCCAGTATCTTCTTCTTGCATCCCCCCGGGGGTAACTGCACCTGCTACTTCCCTAAAGTGCCTGTACACCAATGCACGGAGCATGGAAAATAAACAGGATGAACTCGAGATCTGTGTTTGGTCGCGGGGCCGCAATCTTGTTGCAATCACTGAGATGTGGTGGGACAGCTCGCATGACTGGAACGCAGTCATGGAGGGCTATGTCCTCTTTAGGAAAGACAGGCTGGGGAAGCAAGGGGGTGGGGTTGCCCTTTATGTGAGGGAGCAATTAGAGTGTACCCAGCTCCACCTGGGGAAGGGTGAAGGACAAGTGGAGAGCTTGTGGGTAAGAATTAAGGGGTGGGCTGGTATGGGAGACATGGTGGTAGGGGTCTACTACAGGTCTCCAGATCAGGAGGAGGAAGTCGATGAGGCCTTCTACAAGCAGCTGCTAGTAGCCTCATGATCACGAGCTCTGGTCCTCATGGGGGACTTCAATTACCCAGACATCTGCTGGGTAAGCAACTCGGCCAGGCACGAGCAGTCCAAATGGTTCCTACAATGCGTTGAGGACAATTTTCTGACACAGGTGGTGGAGGAGCTGACAAGGCATCAGGTGCTCCTGGACCTCATTCTTACCAACAGGGATGGCCTTGTTAGGGATGTGAAGGTTGGGGGCAGCTTGGGATGCAGTGACCATGAGATGGTGGAGTTCCAGATGGAGCTAGGCAAAGGAAGTAAGGCTAAAAGCAGGATTGCAACCCTGGACTTCTGAAGAGCCAACTTTGACCTCTTCCAGGACCTGCTTGGGAGTATCTCATGGGATAGATTGCTAGAAGGCAAGGGTGCTTGTGAGAGCTGGGCTACATTTAAGCAGCACTTCTTCCATGCTCAGGATTGGTGCATCCCTGAAGAATAGGAAATCGGGGAAGGGGGCAGGAAACCCACATGGATGAGCAAGGAGCTAATCAATATAATCAATAAGATCAAAAGGAAGAGAACGTTCTATATGTGTAAAAAGGGCCTGTCCTCTTGGGAGGAGTATACACGTAGATGTGTTGTCAGGGCCTGCAGGGACGCAACAAAGAAGGCTAATGCCCACCTAGAGATGAAGCTTGCGAAAGAGGTAAAGGATAATAAGAAGGGTTTTTTCAAGTATGTAAACAGCAAGAGGAAGACTAGGGATAATGTAGGTCCCTTGCTGAATGAGGGGGGTTTCCTGGTCACGGGAGACACTGAGAAGACAGAGATAGTGAATGCTTTCTTTGCTTCAGTCTTTGCTTCAAGGATACTTCCCCGGGACTCCTCGCCCTTGGCAATAAGACAAAGGGTCTGGGAAATGTTACAAGAGATGAGGAAAAGGCGGAAGTGCTCAATGCCTTCTTTGCCTCAGTCTTTAGCGGCAACACTGGTTGTTCTCTGGATACCCAGTACCCTGAGCTGGTGGAAGGGGATGGGGAGCAGGATGTGGCCCTCACCATCCACGAAGAACTGGTTGGTGACCTGCTACGGCACTTGGATGTGCACAAATCGATGGGGCCGGATGGAATCCACCCAAGGGTACTGAGAGAACTGGCAGAGGAGCTGGCCAAGCCCCTATCCATCATTTATCAGCAGTCCTGGTTATCGGGGGAGGTCCCAGCTGACTGGCGGCTAGCAAATGTGACGCCCATCTACAAGAAGGGCCGGAGGGCAGACCCGGGGAACTACAGGCCTATCAGTTTGACCTCAGTACCAGGGAAGCACATGGACCAGATCCTCTTGAGAGTCATCTTGCAGCACTTGCAGGGCAAGCAGGCGATCAGGCCCAGTCAGCATGGGTTTATGGAAGGCAGATCCTGCTTGACGAACCTGATCTCCTTCTATGACAAAGTGACGCGCTGGGTGGACGAGGGAAAGGCTGTGGATGTGGTCTACCTTGACTTCAGCAAGGCATTTGACACCGTCTCCCACAGCATTCTCCTCAAGAAACTGGCTGCTCTTGACTTGGACTGGCGCACGCTTCGTTGGGTTAAAAACTGGCTGGATAGCCGGGCCCAAAGAGTCGTGGTAAATGGAGTCAAGTCCAGTTGGAGGCCAGTCACTAGTGGCGTCCCCCAGGGCTCGGTGCTGGGGCCGGTCCTCTTTAATATCTTCATCAGTGATCTGGACGAGGGCATTGAGTGCACCCTCAGTAAGTTTGCAGATGACACCAAGCTACGCGCATGTGTCGATCTGCTCGAGGGTAGGAAAGCTCTGCAGGAGGATCTGGGTAGGCTGCACCGATGGGCTGAGGTCAACTGCATGAAGTTCAACAAGGCCAAGTGCCGGGTCCTGCACCTGGGGCGCAATGACCCCAAGCAGAGCTACAGGCTGGGAGAGGAATGGTTGGAGAGCTGCCAGGCAGAGAAGGACCTGGGAGTATTGGTTGATAGTCGGCTGAATATGAGCCAGCAGTGTGCTCAGGTGGCCAAGAAGGCCAACAGCATCCTGGCTTGTATCAGAAGCAGTGTGGCCAGCAGGGCTAGGGAGGTGATCGTCCCCCTGTACTCGGCTCTAGTGAGGCCGCACCTTGAGTACTGTGTTCAGTTTTGGGCCCCTCGCTACAAGAAGGACATGGAGGTACTCGAGCGGGTCCAGAGAAGGGCGACGAAGCTGGTGAGGGGCCTGGAGAACAAGTCCTACGAGGAGCGGCTGAAGGAGCTGGGCTTGTTCAGCCTGGAGAAGAGGAGGCTCAGGGGTGACCTTATTGCTCTCTACAGGTACCTCAAAGGAGGCTGTAGTGAGGTGGGGGATGGCCTGTTCTCCCACGTGCCTGGTGACAGGATGAGGGGGAATGGGCTTAAGTTGCGCCAGGGGAGTTTTAGGTTAGACTCTCCCCCCTGGTTGATGAGGGAGTGGTTCGGGAGCATCTGAGTGGGCTCAACGCACACAAATTCATGGGTCCCGATGGAATGCATCCACGTGTGCTAAGGGAGATGGCAGATGTGATTGCCGAACCGCTCTCTATCATCTTTGAAAGGTCCTGGAGAATGGGTGAGGTGCCTGAAGACTGGAGTATAGCCAGTGTCACTCTGGTCTTCAAGAAGGGCAGGAAGGAGGATCCAGGCAAGTACAGGCCAGTGAGTCTCACCTCTGTCCCTGGAAAGGTGTTGGAACAGCTTGTTTTGGATGCCGTCTCCAAGCAATTGGAAGAGAATAAGGTTATGAGGAGTAGTCAGCATGGATTCACCAAGGGGAAGTTGTGCTCCACCAACCTCGTTGCCTTCTATGATGGCATCACCAGCTGGGTAGATGAGGGGAAAGCAGTGGATGTCATCTACCTTGACTTTAGCAAGGCTTTCGATACTGTCTCCCATGACATCCTGCTAGCAAAGCTGAGAAAGTGTGGGATAGAGGAGTGGACAGTGAGGTGGGTTGAGAACTGTCTGACTGGCCGAGCTCAGAGGGTGGTGATCAGCGGAGCAGAGTCTGGCTGGAGACCTGTGACTAGCGGTGTTCCCCAGGGGTCGGTGCTTAGTCCGGTCTCGTTCAACATCTTCATCAACGACCTTGATGAGGGAATAATGTCTGCCCTCAGCAAGTACGCTGATGACACAAAGCTGGGAGGAGTGGCCGACGCGCCAGAAGGCTGTGCTGCCATTCAGCGAGACCTGGACCAGCTGGAGAGCTGGTCAGGAAGAAACCAAATGAGGTTTAACAAGAGCAAGTGTAGAGTCCTGCACCTGGGAAGGAACAACCTGAAGTATCAGTACAGGCTGGGGGACGACCTGCTGGAGAGGAGCTCTGAGGAGAAGGACCTGGGGGTCCTGGTGGACAACAGGTTGACCATGAGCCAGCAGTGTGCCCTGGTGGCCAAGAGGGCCAATGGGATCCTGGCATGCATTAAAAGGAGTGCGGCCAGCAGGTCAAGGGAGGTGATCCTCCCCCTCTACTCTGCCCTGGAATGCCTCACCTCGAGTACTGTGTCCAGTTCTGGGCTCCCCGGTGTGGAGGAATGGTTAAGTGAGGCAGGACATGTGGATGTTGAGCAGTTGGGAGACAATGGGCTGGTGAAGCACCGTACTCAACTCACATGAGCCTTGGCACCTATGCAGCTGGCTGAGAGCCAATCAGGCTCAAGGACACGATGCCCTTGGGCGATCGGGGAAAGTCCCTAAGGTGGGACAGGTAGCCAAAAGAAGGAGGACCAGACTGAAAAGCCCGGGAAGTGTTAACCAATCCTGAGCTTAGTTTCTGCAATATGTATGAGTTGATTATGTTCAAACTAGATAAAAGGCGACTGAGCTATCCATTAAAGTTGAAGTTCACTGTTCCCTCATATTGAGCGTCTGTGTCTTCCTTCCGTCGGCAACACCCCGGTACAAGAAAGACAGGGATCTCCTGGAAAGAGTCCAGCAGAGGGCCACAAAGATGATACGGGGCCTGGAGCATCTTCCTTATGAGGAAAGGCTGAGAGACCTGGGTCTGTTCAGCCTGGAGAAGAGAAGACAGAGGGGATCTCCTCAGTGTATATAAATATCTGAGGGGTGGGGGACAGAAGGATATAGCCAACCTCTTTTCAGTGGTTTGTGGGGATAGGATAAGGGGCAATGGCTACACAGGAAGGGGCAATGGAGCACAGGAAGTTCCGCTCTGACATGTGAAAGAACTTCTTCACGGTGAGGGTGACAGAGCATTGGAACAGGCTGCCCAGGGAGGTTGTGGAGTCTCCTTCTCTGGAGATATTCAAGGCCCATCTGGACGCCTACCTGGGCAGCCTGCTCTGAGGAACCTGCTTTGGCAGGGGGGTTGGACCCGATGATGTTTTGAGGTCCCTTCCAACCCCTACAGTTCTGTGATTCTGTTATCTGACTGAGCAAAATGTTGCTCTCCATCTTTTTTTATAAGCCCCCTTTAACTACTGAAAAGCTATAATGAGGCCACCCTGGAGCCTTCTCTTCTGTAGGCTGAACAGCCCCAGCTCTCTCAGCCTTTCTTCGTAGGAGAGGTGCTCCAGCCCCTTGATCATCTTCGTGGCCTTCCTCTGGACCTGTTCCAACAGATCAACATCCTTCTTGTGCTGAAACAGCCTTCTTGTACTTTATGGTAGAAACTTGCTTAGAAGTTAGACTTCTCATCGGTTTGACAGGAAGCCTAATTTCTCAGAACATTTATTTGTAAGTAAGGTTTCAAGTTTTGTATTTTGATAAGCTTTTAGAAATATTTTGAAAATACGCAGGCATATTGTCAGACTAAGACCAATAAAAATAGAAAAGATGGAAATGACCATAGAAATACCATTGGTTGCATAATAAGCTTATTAATGAGAATTCATTTCAAGATATTAAGAAAAAAAACACACTACAGACTGATCAATTTTAGATATGAACAGAGTTCAGCATTCTCATTCAGTCTTTATCACACTTACCCACATGGAACACTGACCTGTACGACTATATGAAGAGTTCACTTTGTTGTTAGGCTGATAACCCAGAATTTGAATGCAGACGCAATAAAGGCAGTTCTCATCCGTGTGCTCCTGTAGCCCATTATCCTCTGTATTTTCTAAAAACTGAGAGGTATCTGAATGGCTGGTATTCATTATTTCTGTGAGACTGATCTGCTGCTGGAGCATCTGAAAAGGACTTGTGACATCACTTGTACCTGATGGAAGACCTGTAGACAAGCAATCAGATACCAGAAAAAAACAAAACCACACAACCAACGATTAAAACAACATTCTAATTAAATTTCCTGTTTTACAGCTGGAGGGGGTGGGAAGATCTAGAAATATAAAGTAACTGTTTTTAAGCATTTTTGAAGGCTTAAAATCCAAAGGTCTGTTACCATTCCAGAAATAAATATCACATTTCAGTCCCAGCTTATCACAGAATCACGGAATGGCCAAGGTTGGTAGGGACCTCTGCAGATCATCTAGTCCAACCCCCTTGCCCAGCAGGATTGTTGTCTGTAGGTTGTAGCCCCAAAGTTGGGAAAATAAATAATAAAACCTTGAACCTCATGTCTGCAGACATAAGGGGTTGGCTAAGATCACAGGCCATGAAGTAGGTACACCATCCCATTTCCTCATATCTTCCTCATGGTCACACAGATAAAACCACAAGGTGCCACGTGGTGTATGTCTTGGGTACTCTCTCTCTTGAGCAGGCGAATGCTGATTCTTAGTAGCTGAAGTATCACTCCGTCTAAATGAGGGAGAATATACTCGTTCCACGAGCTTGTCAAGTCCTTTAGACAGTTTCTCCACAGCTGAGACACAGGACTGTAGCGGAGCAGAGAGATTGTCTTCATATTGTTGAAACTGGCAGGACACATCATACATTGTTGGTCCCATCCCCTCGTCCCAGCGAATTGCTGCCAGAGTACTGGCATGTGCTGATGGTGCACTCCGCACAAATTTACGCCACATGGATGTTGTGCACTGGACTTCATCGGGGTCTTGAGGTGTCTGAGCATTGTCCAAATCACTATAAATCATCTCCCGCACAGCTAATTCCCGCAGATGCTGGAGAACTTTATCCATAGTGGTCCACTTGCCTATGTGATATACAATATCTTCCTTATGGGGATATCTTTCTCTCACAGCTGCCAGGAGTCGTCTCCAGAGGCTGAGGGCCTGTGCTCCTCTCCCAATTACTTTGTCGATTACCCTTTCTCTAGAGAGGGATCCCAGCTGCTTGGCTTCATTGCCTTCTAATTGTAGGCTATTGGCCCCAGCATCCCAGCATCGGAGCAGCCAAGTGAGGATGTGTTCACCTGGGCATCGACCATAATCCTTTCGTATTTCTCGCATCTCACTCAGGGATAAGGATCGAGTGATTTCTGATTCCTTTATGATTTCCGTCTCGTCTTCCTGCTGTTTTTGTGATGGCTCTGCTTTAGAGGTGCCTGCCATTTCCCCTTCTCCCTCCTTCTTAGGAGAGCCTTCTTCCCTTATTAAACGAGCTGACCTCCGTTTCCATTGTTTTGACTTGACTATGGGGGCGACTGATACCATAGTTGGTTGGTCCTCTGGGTCAGCCACAGCGTGTGTTACTTGGTCATCAGATTCAGAGACTTCCTCCCTCTCTTCAAGTTGCTGGATGATATTAAACAGTGTTTGATAGGAATAAGCCAGGACCCAGCACAATGCTGCAAGCTGTCGTTCTCCGGCATTATCAGGGTCAGGACATACAACTCTCAAACATTCTACCAAGTTTTTAGGATTTAGCACTTGCTCAGGGGTGAAGTTCAAAACTATTGGAGGAGACACTCGTGACAGGTATCTGCTAACATCATCCCACACACCTTGCCAATCACCACAAGACTGTTTCGAGACAGATTCCCAAGTAAGTTTTCTAAACAATCGACTAATCTTAGAGAGAAAATGAAACCTGTGGTTCAGAATTAGAAATAGCAATACATGGGTTACAGATGGATCTTCAAAATACTCCCAAACTGTTGTAATTAGCCCACTGTGAAAGAAGGGAAAGGTACCATTCCTAATATTATTAATAAACTGGTGTCCAGATGAGAAAAAGAAGGCAGTGTAGTTCTGAATATTCTCTGAAAGATAGTTTCCATGGGACCCAAATGATAACAGCGCAGAGCCTGAATTCCAGATTAAACCCAAGGTCAGTGCTTGGCAGCACAGCAAATTAAAAAAAGTGAACACAGATTGTAGCACTTTGTCGGATCGGATATATAGGAGAAAGGAGAATATTACACGGATTGCATGACATATGAACAAAGCTATTATTAACAGGACAATATACATGGTTACTAGCATGGTTACTAGCAAGCAAGTGTGTTAGTTGTATGCGTTTAATCAATTCTATTGTTATCTCAACCCTTCGAGCCCCACGTTGGGTGCCAAAAAGGACTGTGGTGGTTTTACCGTGCTGGGCAGCTAAACCCCACAACCGCTCTCTCACTCCCCCTCCTTTAGATGAGGAGGGGGAGAAGTAAAGCAAAGAACAACTCACGGGTTGAGATAAGGATAATTTTAATTAAAGGGAAATAATTATAATAATTAAATAAAGACTACCATGAACCAAACAATTTAACTAAGGGGAAATAAAAAGGGAAAGGGGAAAAGGGAAAATAAAAAGAAGGGAGGAAAACAAACAAACAAAATAAATGAAAGCTATATGGAAGTGTAGAGGAAAGAAATTACTCTCTACTTCCCACAAATGAGCGATGATTGACCACGTCCTTGAAGCAAGGCCTCAACGCACGTAGCCGGTGTTGAGAGGAGGACCGACGTCTTCTCAACGAGAGCCCACCCCTCCCCTCTTCTTCCTGTTTCCACCTTTTATTGCTGAGTGTGACATCACATGGTATGGAATATCCCTTTGATTGGTTTAGGTCAGCTGCCCTTGTGATGTTTCTCTCCTCACTTTTTGCCCACCCCCTAGGAGGGTTAGAGAAAGGCCCAATACTGTGCCACTGCTGCTCAGCAGTAGACACAACACTGGTGTGACAACACTGCTGTTCCAGCTACAAGTACAGAGTACAGCACTGTATGGGCTGCTGCCGGGAAAGTTAACATTCCAGCCAGACCCAGTACAACCTCATGTCTGCAGACATAAGGGGTTGGCTAAGATCACAGGCCATCTTTATGAAACCTCAGGAGAAATGAGAAATTTATAATCCTCTTCCAAAAAGAAATACCTGGTTTCATACTTTGTGGAGGGCATTAATCCCTGCATTGGGAGTAATAGAACTTGAGAGAGCAATAGTAAATATTTCTGCAACTTTAGAAATCATAATCAATGCCACTACTGATGCTCTTGGCCGAATACAAACAGAAATAGAACAAGTATCCCAAATAGCCTTAGAAAACCATCTTGCCTTAGATGGGCTACTTGCAGCCTGGGGAGGTGTTTGTGCTGTGATAAACCACAGCTGCTGTGTCTATGTAAATGAGAAGAAGCAAATTCAAACAGACATTAACCAAATCTGGCAAGCATCTCAACTGTTTCACCTAATATCTCAGGATGCAACCCTTGGTAGTGGAACAGATTTTTCCTGGCTGTGGTCATGGCTGCCAGATTTTGGATGATTAAGACAACTGATTTTAATTATTATAATAATTGTATCAATAGTAGTGATACATAGTTGTGTTCTGCAATGCATGCCTAGTTGTTTGAATTCATATAGTACTTTATTCAGCAAGTGCAAACCTCACCAGGTAATGTTAGTGAAACAAGATATAGATAACAGAATATTTCTTCAAATTAATAAAAATAGGTAAGAACTATGCAGTGAGAACTATGAAGCCTAAAAGTGAGGTTCATAGTCTCAGAGGGGGGAAAGCGTAGTCCCAAAGCTGGGAAAAAATAAAACCTTGAAGAAAATTGGGAGGTCTATAGCTTGTGTAGTCTTAGAGCTGAAAGCAAGAGACAGGTAGCCTTGAACTAGCAGAAGAAAGGAAGATAAGGAATAAAAGGTAAAAAACAAGAAGGAGAAAAACAGCTCCAGACTGACCTATAGTAGCCTTTTGTTCATTAAGGGTCATTAATGTATTAAAAACCACACCCATGAAAATGCTAATGTATGCTAATTTGGGATTTGATGCCCCCCCCCATGGTCCTCTGTAATGCGCAAACTCAGTAGAGATGTGTTAGATGAGCTGTAATAGCCAATCAAAAATAGCCAAACAGTTTTCACAAGTTGGTTGTGTATAAATTACGGTGATTCGAGTCAAAGGTGTGCTTGCTTTGTGAAAGAACGCCAAGCACCTGACTCTGCAGAGTTATATAATTATTTAATTAAAAGACCTTCGTGTGGATTCTGACTGTACTTATTGGTGCGGCGCACTGGGCATGAACCTACAGACAACAGGATCCCCTAGAGCACATTACACAGGATGGCATCCAGGCAAGTTTTGAATATCTCCAGAGAAGGAGACTCCACAACCTCTCTGGGCAACCTGTTCCAGTGCTCTGTCACCCTCACAGTAAATAAATGCCCTCTCATATTCAGCCAGAACTTCCTGTGCTTCAGTTTGTGCCCGTTGCCTCTCGTCCTCTTGCTGTTGGGCACAACTGAAAAGAGACCGGCTCTATCCTCTTGACACCCTCCCCTCAAATATTTATACACATTCACGAGGTCTCCCCTCAGTCTTCTCTTTTCCAGGCTAAACGGGCCCAGTTCTCTCAGCCTGTCCTCATACAACAGGTGCTCCAGTCCCCTGATCATCTTCATAGCCCTCCTCTGGACTCGCTTCAGGAGCTCCATGTCCCTCTTGTACTGGGGAGCCCAGAATTGGACACAATATTCCAGGTGTGGCCTCACCAGGGCTGAGTAGAGGGGGAGGATCACCTCCCTTGACCTGCTGGCAACACTCTTCCAAATGCAGCCCAGGATACTGTTGGCCTTCTTGGCCACAAGGGCACATTGCTGACTCATGGTCAGCTTGCTGTCCACTAGGATTCCCAGGTCTCTCTCTGCAGAGCTGCACTCCAGCAGGTCAGCCCCCAGTCTGTACTGCTGCTTGGGGTTACTCCTCCCTAGGTGCAGGACCCTGCACTTGCCCTCGTTGAACTTCATGAGGTTCCTCTCGGCCCAACCCTCCAGTCCATCAAGGTCCCTCTGAATGGCAGCACAGCCCTCTGGGGTATCAGCCACTCCTCCCAGCTTTGTGTCGTTAGTAAACTTGCTGAGGGTGTACT